TCCTCCCCTGTTTCTACAGCTGCCGGGACGGCTACAACCACCGGCACAGCTGATTCGCAGACCCATTTACCTGAAAGTCCAACAGCCACGAAGGTGGAACCGGAAAATTTGACTGCTGATCTGGAAGCAAAGATGGATGATATGCTATCACGGATTCGCGCCACAGAGGAGCGAATGGCAGCGGCAGCTGCTGCCGCTCAATCCCATTCAAAACCGGTCAGCAAATTACCGCATGGCATTGTTCCCGCCACATACTTGCACCAAGAACTGGGGTCTAACATTCCTTCCTCTGGGCTTGTCTATGGTGGTGCTGGTCATGTAATCCGGGCAAAAGCTGTTGCCGCTGCAGCTGCTCATATGCATGATGAGGAAGATGAAGAATCAGTCATGTCTCGCGTGGAACAAGTTGCAGCCTACGAGGAGGCTTCCAAGGCTACGTCTGGCGTTGTAGGTCCAACGACCGCCAACACACATGTTCATCGTTCACCTCCTCCGCCACCCCCACCCTTCCCCTCTACCTCACTTCGTGTGTCTACCGGCACGACAAACTCCACTCCACTTTCTAATCGTACCACATCTCCCCCATCTGTTGATTTGGACCTGGACTCACGCATTGAACGCTTGATTACTGGCCCCAAGCCAAGTCAAACCAAATCTCCTGTTATTGTGTCTAATCCGAATTCTCGATTCACTGAGTCCTCATCCAAACAAATCGCCGCCGGTCCTCTTCTACCGGGGGACGGTAATAATGGACACCCAACAATTCCTGCCCCTCTGGTCGCCGTAGCTGATAGGATAGCCGCGGTACGTGCGTTGAACCCTTCCCCCAAAAAACGAGACCTTATTCGTAAGTCCCCACGTTCTTCACTGGTACAGGCAGATGCGGGTGCAAAACAGCTCCAGGCTGATCAACACGCCTCGCAGGACGATGAACTTTACGATTTGTTAGGAGTATGACGAGTCTTTTTTTCTATTCTTTACTTGCTCATGCATTCACAAACGACAGAATCGTTCTGTGTGCGCGCCCCAGAATAGGTGCTCCCCCCCACTCCATGTGAGAATGGCTTATTTCAATGTGGTCTTTGCCGCGAATTACCAGATGTGGAATGCATCGCTCCTTTTTACCACAACTACTTCTATTCTTTCACGTTTTGTTACGACCGTTCATGTTTTTACTCCCCACGGATCCTGCTGATGTTACTAATCCGGTTGCAGCCACCTAACGCGTTGCCGCTCTTCTGTGCGACGATCAACTTATCCCTACGGGGCTTTGTACCCTTGTTGACCTGTAGATATGTCTCATTTCAACAAAGCTGCACACACAGGGATGCAGTTTTCACAATACTTTGTCCCCTGTTGGTGAACACACGTTCCCCATCCACTGTAATAAACATTTTCTCATAGCTGTGCTATTCTCGACAAATGTGTTTCACATGCCTCTCCAAGCGCACACATCTCTTGTCACATAAGTCAATGATGATGTATTTGTGGTTGGTTTTGCAAAATCCTGATGATCACTGATGTTTCGATGTTCGTTCTGATACGGATGAGGAAAAGGGCAGTTGGGCGGTATGTGGATAAGTTGAATCCGCTCCTCATCTCAGGTTTCTTTGGACGACAATAGGTATGGAGTCTCGTCCTTCTGGAGATTGAATACCCCGGGGGGATCGGCCAAGTTCGTCCTGTCATAAGTTTTACGAACCTCAATTATCACCAAGACAGATGAAGATGGTATGTGCATCAAGTTGGGTATTCTATACTTTATTCGAACGTTTTCACCTGGTGGTTTGTCCGTTCGAAGGTCCCTCTGTTCTTGTTTGGTTTTTTACCAAACGTTACGTGGCTGTAATCTTGCCATCTATACAGTTGGGGGGCAAGATGGCTCAGTGGTTAGAGCGTGAATTTACTGACCGAGGGTCCATGGTTCGAACCCTACCTAGGCATCTCAACTTCTTTTCCGATTTGGGCAACCTGGCAATACACCAGCGCACGCACTTCTTTCTTTCCCTCGTTCGGGAGGGAGAGAATGTGGAAAACCGGCTGGTCTTAACGGCACAAACCGTTGACTCAATAAATGCTAACGACTTCATTTTCAAGGCCGAAATGGTACCGTTGACTGACGTGCTCAGTTGGTCGGTCTCATTATTCCGTGTCCCACCGAACAAGGGACATCAACTCAAGAAGTGTGGATTGTTCACTTGGTTGACCTCATTTCCGTGGCACACACAAAATACTTCCTAAACATTTAACAGCGCCATTGTTTAGAGGTAACATACTACTCACAAGGTTGCTGAAAACTGGTGTTTTATTCGTTGTCTATGAATCGTAAAATGGCGTTCAATAAGTATGCAGTACCCGTAGTGGGAGGTTTTCACCGAAGCTAGTGCTTACTTCAGTATTGTCCTGAAGAGACTGGACCTTACCCTGATGGGACGATTTGCGCACCTCAGAGATCCGTTGAGCTATAATGAGGAGTGTCCCCGTGACATTCACAGTCTCTCATACCAGGTTAGTCAGTGGTTAGAGGTCTGACGAACACAGTCTGCTGGCCTTCCAGGTTGGGGGTTGGAACATGTGCCGAATTCCTCCATAGAAATGGTTTTGCATTTCCCGCCAAACACTGCTGCCTTGCGGTTAGGCTTTTGAGCCAAATGCTCCGGTTGAGGACCCTGATCGTCCTCCTGTCTAGGTGTCGGCGCCCCGACAGTATCCCAGCTCCCGTACAAGGTTGTACGGCAGTGAAGCATTGGTGTTGAACACTGATGTCATGCTGTCGGTGGAACGAGTGAAAAAAAGGACTGTTGTTTAGATAAGCCCCAAAGCACGGGAATCGTTTCGTTCCTAGGAGTATCGCTTTCTTATAAGCAAGAGCACCGTACACGAAAGAGTGCGAGATAAACATAATGAAACCATCTCCACATTAGCCTGGTAGACTTAGCGTTCAACCGGCTCATTGGCATTGTGATATACTAACCGGTCGATCGTGACATTGTCACTGTAGTGCGCCTCCTGTGTTCCCGCGCTTTTCTGAAGCAAGTAGTCTGATTAGTTCGCTGTGGAGTTAGTGTTGGTTAACGCTCTCTCTTGTCATTAGTCTTCGATGTCGCTGTTGGTATGCTACTCGAAACTCTCCTCCGTTTAGCAACTCAGCGGACTAACTACTTCTGGGGACACTGCGCTTATGCGGTGAGAATCTTCCCAAGTAATCTAGCTCATTCTGCCGAACGATCAGCACGCTGTTTACACCAACAAGGTGGATGCGGTCCAGTCAAGGAACATGGGCACTCTTCTATCCAAGCTGTTCCTCATCATTGACAGTTCTAAGCCACTAGTGTATGCTGGCGCTTAACTGCCATTTATCCAAGACATTGCCTTCGATCCATAAATGTGCCCATTTCCTCTCGATGAGAAAACAGTGACAGTGTTGTGTGCGGGTAGGCTATCATTTCGACTGCGACCGTATCTCTCTTATTGTTCGTTATCTGTAGCATCTGGAATTATACCTTCGATGGACGGTTTGCTGCACAAAACTGAACTGATCAGCAGTTGCGAGGTGCCTCTGCGTGGACGATCTTCATACAGTATGAACCGTGCTTGAGCCACTACCTAACGTTGCTTCAGATCCGGCAGAGCTGTTAGTATAGTTTCGTACCCGGTTACTCATCCAAGAATGAACTAACGTTGCATCTCCGAACTGTTGCGAGAAGCCTCGCATACCCCAGAATATGTATAAAAGTTGGGAAGAGTCATTCTGTAATGCCGCTTCTCCCTCTGGGAATTTGCCTCGTCTCCAAGTCACTTTCCTGCATCACAACTGAGTTGTTGCCGTTTCGTGTTTATGAATTAGTCGTCCTGTGCTCGGATGGCTGAACCATAAACAGCCCGCAACAAAATTAAATGTCGAACCAGGTTTTGATGTCCATGAGGTTTCTGCGCACAAGTGAAGGAAAATCTACTGTCGAAATCACGTGACCAACCTAATTGTTGGCCTAAGATTGGGAAGAAATGTATATTCTTTTGAGCTTTACTCGCTCCCATTTGCTTCTAACTTGTGTGTATGCGACGTTTAGTTCGGCCGCTGTCCCAAACCAAAGGATCGAAGTCCCCAATCTAAAGACCTATATGGGTCTGCAGTCATGTAGAGGCCTCAATCTTTTGACGGTAACTAAAATTTTCTGTCTTCCCCTGGTCACAAGAAAACTTTTGATGACAATCGTTAGTAGTGGGAACAGATTTGTGAATTTTCAAAGAAGATTTCGTCCTGTATGTGTGGCCAACTTGTGCTGAAAAGTCGAGAAGCCCTGTACAGCAGTAGAAAAATAATCGTTCGGTTGCAACACCATTTTGCTGCCTGGCTACGATGCCATCTGAATGAACCTCGAGGGCTGAGATACAGCCAGGTTTCCCAGACCTTGGCAGGAGCAGTCGAGATGCTGAGGCTTCATCCATACTGCAAATCTCCAACAGTGCGCGGGGAGTTTCGAATCCGCGACCCCCAGACTAGTCTCATACATTTATGTAAGCACTGCTCTCTCTCTGGAACGAGTGACACAATCGTGTGAAGGTCATTCATAATCCAATCATTACATTACAAATATGTACATGTATCGCGATATCTCGAATATCGTTGTGACTGAAACATGAGGCAGCCTGGTGCAGCACATTCAGTTGCCTGGAAACATCACAAACGAGAGGTTCAGCTGGGTTCCAGGTGAGTCTCTCGAAAAACCAAGTTAGTTTGCAAATGAGTGTATATTCGCTTACAAATAGGATGTTTATAGACAAAAGTGAGTTGGTTTATTTGCCAGTGACACAATAAGAACCTCGTCAATGTTTGATACTGACAGGACCGGGAAAAGCTATGACTAAAGTACCGAACGAAGGAACAAATTCTTTTCATTGGAGGATCCCAGATTCAACTTGATTTGAAACATTGCGTCCCTTTTATCCATCTCATCAGTACTGACAGCAGATGTACGCTGCGTCATAATCGGGTTGCAATGGAACTTGCAACACCTCTCCGTCGACTGGGATTCATCGTCTTCGAGGAGTTGAGAGCACCTACTTCGACTTCCTTCGTCAAACCTGACCTAATCGCTGTTCGAGATCGCCGTGCAACTGTAATAGACGTCAGCATAGTCTCGGATGGGCGTGGTGTGACTGTGTGGAATGAGAAGAAGCAGTATGTTGCTGATGAATATTCCTTCGCCATAGTCTCAGCCCTACATGCCATCGGTTGTGATGTCGACTTTTTGGTTCACCAACCGATGATCATCTCTTATCGAAGGATCTGCTTTCCTCAATCCGCTAATGCTGTTATTGGACTGGAACTTCCTAAGGTCACAGTCAGTGACTTGTGGGCTCTCTGCGTACTTATGACACTCTTACGCGTGGCACTTGGCGTTGAATGTACATTTTTGTCATTTAATCTCACACCAGACCCAGTATGACGGACACTTTGTGCCTGATGTGCGAGTCTTGACTGTGCTAGCACCTTGAAGAGTATTCACCATTGTTTGTCCTTTCTTCGGTTGTTGGTTTTTAGATGCGTGTTTCCATATCAAAATCTTTACATACTTTGGGATTCATCTCATCAGACTGGCACTGTTCTTGGCATGATTTCGAATGAGACGTTTCTCTCTTTCCCCTCATATTCTCCTGTTACTCTTTCGCACTGATCGCTTGCATTCAGTTTTTATGTTTGTGACCATGCTCTTCGAAAATAAATGATAATAGGTTTCTCTTACACTCCTCAGTCGCGAACGCATACCCTAAGAGTAATATACTTAGAGGGAAGAAACGATGTCGCACAGACACTGAGTGGCTTATTTCAACCGGTCTCCAAGCCACAGTTTAGCCATATAAACTGCATGTTCCACGCCCCCACAGCTTATGTGTTCTATCAGTTCCAATCAAACGGATTTGTTCGATAACCATTAACGCATCCTGACTATTCTCAATAACCTGGTTACGACGGCCTTGAAGTTGTGACGAATTACCCAGTAAACCATTGGCATTCAACGAATGGGCCACTGTCAGGCAAACGAGATTGACGTGCAAGTGAAATTAAATATCGTTTTTTGAATAGCGGTGAGATGGCCCAAGTGGTTAGAGCGCGAAATTACTGAACGGAAGGTCCGCGGTTCGAACCCGACCTCTGCCTCCCGACTTCCCCCGTCTAGGCTTGGGCAACCTAGCAGTATTCCAGCCCTCGTGCTTCCTCCGGGTGGCATGGCAACTAGGCACCGGAAGAGTACTATATCTGAACGTTTTTTAATAGATTTTGATATTCCCGCCTTTTTATCGATCTGTTGTGGTTGAACTTCGCGATTTTGTTATTGAAATCGCTCCATTCAGCTCCCTGGGCAGATATAGTTATCTGGGCTTGGAAATTATGCCCGTTTCTTTCGTTGCGTTGTGCATATCAGTTCCGTTTGTTTTCACCTTTCCAGTGGCGTTGAAAAGTAATGTTTACGAAATGCAAGACTGTGATCGGACTTGTTGATCTCCATACTAGCTCAACTAAACCAATCCGTCTGAAGTTTTATTCCATATTTTTATCGCAGTCTAGTAAAGATTTATTTGAACATCTGTATTCGTTGATCGAATAGATATCTCCATTTCGTTTGTTCCACCGGCTATTTTCTTGAGCGTTTCAGAAGCTTGGTTTTGGTGTTTCTAGGATGAATCTGTCGGAACCCTGGGCTGTTTTCTTGACTCATTTCGAATAAGTTACTCTAGCTGTAAAATGTATACTGTAACAGTGTACTTCAGTGGTCCTGGGTCATTATCATCACGCGTTTATCAACTCCGCTGATAATTCTGCCTGACAAGCGGTGTCTAACCCGATCTGAACCATACAGTTGCCTAAATGCCACGAACTGCTTCAATATTATTTCATCATGACTGAATATTTGATTTCAGAATATCCTAGACTATCTGTGCATTAGAATGCCCCGACATGAAAATAAAACGCTTGCTCGGGGGTGCAGATCTCGTTCTGTCCAGCAGTAGGCCTCATAATTCCTCTATGTCCCTCTTCCTATTATGGTCTCGTGGGACAGAGCATCAGCGATGAGGCATACGACAAAGTTTGCCGTATACAGTCATAAACTACCGGTCATCCACGTTTGCAAACAAATTTGGTTTTGCGAGAGGCTCACCCGACTGAATCTCTCGTTTGTGATGTTTCTAGTGCATTACGAATATACTGGTCATCCTGTTCAGGCTGATGCATTTTGCTGCATCGGTTCTTGTTTCATCCATGTGACTCACAACTGCGAACCGAAACCAGTGCTGTTCACCTCGAAATTTGGCGCTCCGGCTCAGAAAGCAAACTGAGTTTTGCGGTTTATCACGAGTTACATTTTGTAGTTCCAGGCTTGAGAGTTTCTCCTCACGTCTGTATTTCTGAAGGACCATTTGTACAGACTATCAGGATGGTAGTTGACAGCTAATTTGCGGGCAGTTTTTTGGAGGCTCGAACCCAGCTCGTCAAGACACTAGTCCAAGGTCTTGTCCACTCTTGTCCTCAACGAGAGTGGCTTCCTTTCCTGACCGTTTTCATCCATCCTTGACCTGGAACCTTTTCATTTTATGTTTCTTATCTTACTTTTTGAAATTGGTCGTCGTAGTTAGCGAAATACACTCATTTGAAAACAAATTTGGCTTTCCGAAATACTCACCTGCGACCCAGTTGAATCTCCCGTTTATGATGTTTTCGCGCATCTGCAGTTCAAGTAGAACATAAGATTGGTGGAAACTCGGGGACTGCGCCTACCTGATGAGCCCCAAGAAGGGTGAAATCGGTAGTGGGCAGTCGAATAATTTCAGCAACCTTATGAGTAGTGTATTACGTCTATACGTGGTCATCATACTGTTGGTACTGCGCTTTCGGATGCCTAATTTCAAGCTCTTATCCACAAGTTTGCCAGAGACTACCTCGACATGATGGTCCACCCCTCATGCTTTCTGATCGACAATGGATCCTTAGTTTTGAGACACCTGTCGTTAGAGTCAACAATTGGGCAGTCGGAGCGCGTGGTCTTTAGAAGACTCTATTTCTAATCCGATCGTCGCAGCACTGAGACCCAATCACTACATCTACTCGGTGGCTTTGGATTCGCAAGTATAAACATGAACACGGTAAAGAATTAGGTTTGGCACTCTAATTCTTGTGTTGCCAGCGCAACCAATGGTATTGTTACCATGTCAGAACAGTCCCCAGCTAAAGTCAGATCTAGGAGGTCCCGATCATAAGCTCGCTGAGATTTTATCCTGCTAGTGAGGCTACCCTGCTCTGAAGAGTGGTCGCATTAGCAACGTGCACCCGATGGGTCTGTTCACAGATTCGAACGACCGACCATCCTGTGAGCAACTAGACACTATGTCACATTGCCCATCAACCGAAATGTATTATCTTGTAAACCATCCTGGAGATATACCACAGTTTCGATGATAGCCAACAAGCTTTAGACAGCTGTACGTTGCTTCTGAATTTTTCAGCATAGGTCCACTTTAGATGGCGAGCGAAAACCTCACTGAAACTTTGATTGAAGCTCCTGACTGCTCCCTACTCAATTTACAGTGAATGTCCTCCTAGTTTTATTCTGAGGCATTGAGCAATTATCACCTTCAGGTAATATCCAGACCCGGACAGCAAGCCAGGTAATCATATGACCAATGTGACGTCATAGCAGACGACCTTGACCTTATACAAATGTGTGACGGAAACGATGGAGGCTAGTTTTGTACTAGAGGGAATTGTCAACAGGATCCAGAGCTTGAGCGCACAAATGGCGCAATAGCTGAGGTTGATGTATGCTCAAAATCCGTGGTGACGCTGAGGTTATCTGCCATCTGAGATCATCATCAGTAGCAAAACTAACGGAACTGCTCATCTGAAAGACGTAACCAGATACTACTGTCCGTTAATCTTCGTTATCAGTTCTTGATCTGTTATACTTACGCCACTGTCCTAATCCCGAGAGTATCTAAAAACACCCACCCAAATAATCTATTCTGAGAGTGGTTCTCTCTTGAGTGCGAATCGGTGAATGGCGAGGAACGTATTATTCTGTTATATACTAATTCAGATGATGTAATTTTCTCCCCAAATATTATGCAGTCTTCCTAATACCCACAAGTTCTATCTATTTTGTTCCGGTTTTTCCTCTTTCAATCAGTGTTGACATTTCAATGGCTGTCTGGCCACTAGGTAAGATGGTCATTCAGCTGTGACACACTCTCGGTGCCTAGCTGCCATGCCACCGAAAGAAAGCACGAGAGCTGGGATACTGTCAGATTGCCCAAGCCTGGACAGGGTCGGGTTCGAACCACGGACATTCCGGTCGATAACTTCGCGCTCTAACCATATGAGCCCCCGGGACATTGGGTTCACTCAACCGGTCTCCTATTCCCTCCGTCCGTGGTGAAAATTATTCACCGCAAGCTATCTCCCAGATTGCCCAGCCTGGACAGGGTCGGGTTCGAACCACGGACATTCCGGTCGGTAACTTCGCGCTCTAACCATATGAGCCCCCGGGACATTGGGTTCACTCAACCGGTCTCCTATTCCCTCCGTCCGTGGTGAAAATTATTCACCGCAAGCTATCTCCTAATCATTGAAACTACACATACTGATTATGGTAGACATGTGATCGGCTCCCCAGGGGTCTCAATCACTCTTGGCTTTTTTTTCCTTGTCAGGGCATCCCAGATGGGTGTTGGTTAGATAGAGCATTAGTGAAGCGCTTTCTGTGGCTGGACCGATCAGAAAAACAATTTTGCCGTAAAAATCCACTTACGTCCAGAGCCCATTACATCGTGATTATCGGACACTAAGTGCATACCGACGGCTAGTTGGGTAAACAACCAGACGGTTCTTCTTCTCAGTAGTCTATCACCATACCATACCAAAAACCACAAAACGGGCAAACTAACCAATAAAACTGCGCAAAACCCTTGATGGGCAGTCTGTGAACGGCTCTTGGGACTTGCAGCAGGCGGTCATCATCATGAATATCAACACCTGATGGGAACATTGGTACTTGACTACCGTACGAACATCTCAATTCGTTTAACATGGCTTGCTGATTACCAAAGGTCTCAGATGCGCGAATAGATCTGACTGACTTTTACTATCTTCTAAGGGATAGCCTAGGCACAGTTTGCTGGAAAAAACTGGGCCTAAAATTCACTAGAAGACCGAATTCGTCTCTCCAGGAAGGAACAACTTTATCCAACTTTGTCACAGTGAATTTTCGGGTGTTTGATGGAGATGCTTTTATCAATTCATCAGCTTCACTGTTATGAAGTCGAAATGAGTTGAGGTTTGTTGACATTATCCCTGTCACCTCGTGATTTTGAA